GTGTCAGGTGGATCAGCAAGTTGATGTCTTGTTCACTCTAGCATACAGCATATGTCATCCATGTAGAGGTGGCTGATGGTAATTCCACTCTCGCACTTGTATTCCATATCCAGTCCTCTTGTCTGCCTGTCTGCCTGCCTGCCTGCCTGCCTGCCTGCCTGCCTGCCTTACTTACTTACTTATAAATAATCTGGCTGATCTCTCCCTCTGAACCCCCTCAGCCAGAGAGATATACTGACAGAGTTGTAAATTCTGGCCTTGCCATCTCAACTAATTTTTTGGAACATTACAAAACTTTGGGTATGGTATGGCCTTTTGGTTTTAATGTATCTACCCTCCCCCACAAAAGCCCTCAGTGTAGATTATACATTCTTGTATTCTACAATATGTGAGATGGGCAGCTATATAAACCAAATAAATAAGTGTGCTTCACATTTTTACTTCTAAAAGACAATTATTACTATGAGCCTTGCTTATAAGGGTAAAATGCTTTGCTCTGTTCCATTCAGTTCTTGCTAACTGAGACATCTCATGGGCTTTTTCCTTAAAAATGAGGAATTCATTATGTGTGCTAAGCCAGTATTTCCCATATAAGAGCATCTGTTGCTTTAAATCATAAACTGGGTGGAGATATTCAGGAAATAATCCTGAAAAGTAAGAAAAGGCTACATAATCTGTAACCATAATATTTAGTGGGCAGGATCCAGAGAACCACATTAAAAATTGAGCTAATGCAAGGGGATTTCCTAAGTATTTTTTCCAGCTCCAGTCCCATGCAAAACCCCTACTTACTGAAATTCTTCTCTGTATTTCCTCAGGTGGGAAGAAACAGTTCAATGGAATAATAAAATAAGAGATTAGCTAGTGATTATGGAGCAGGTTTATTATTAGCATTTACAACATGATATAACTTTTCTTACCAAAACAAAATGAAATAGTTAGGATGTTCTAAAAGTACCACAGGCATTTGGCAATTAGTTAGCCTTTCATTAAATGCTTATTGTCTATCATAATGGTACAGGTTCCCTAAACTATTAATATTCCCTGCAATCATTTTGAAAAGAAGAATCACTGTATGTCTGACCTCTTAAGACTGTAAATCTCAAATCTGGAATCTTGCTATACAGACAACATTAACTCACATAATTCCTTGATATTTTCTGATAGTCCAAAATAAGTTTGTTTCTAAAAAATTCAACCTGAAGGCTTTCCATTTACAGATATACTGGGAATGCAGGTGAAGATCTTGTCACTTGTAACAGGTAGTAGATGAAATGAGATGATGAAATAATGGGTAGATTACAAGAAAATGTATAAAACGAAGAGGTAAAAACTTGTAGCTTGGCTGACAGAGGCAGTTGTTGATCCTGTGATCACAGCTTAAAATTGATCTCTTTGGGTCTGGTTGTTTCCAAGCTTGTCTAAGTTCCAGAAGATGTTAAGAGATTGATTAAGATTTAAATATGGATTGTTCACAGCCATACTATGTATGGGGCAATTAGTGCTACATAGGATAAATTAAAGAGTCCCGAGGCTCAGAAACAGTAGGCTGAGAGGCAGTGGGGACAGAACAATCTGCCAGTAGCCTAGTTCTTAGTCTTTGCTCACTTGAGTCCTAATTTAACTTTTGAACAGACATAAAATAAGCATTTTATCACAGAATACAAGAACCTTTCTACACAGG